ATACCTGTGTAAATTCTGTTTAAAAACAAAGTTAAAATTAAGTCATTTTCATTGGGAATGTAAACTCCCTCTGTTTTTCTACGGAGATGAACAAAACCTAGTGGATAGGTTAAAAGTTCATTGAATTTACATAAACAAACAATTGCTTCATAGCAATGGGACCTGAAGAGAGTTTCACCTAATTTTATACATTACAGACAGGAAGCTCTGGGTCACATTTCAAAAACTGAGAAGTTATCTGTATTAAAATTTGATTCTCAGCCCAAAACAATATAGAATTTTCTATGTCTAAGGCACAAATAAAATAATTTTAAAATTCTAGATGAAAATGCAAAGTTTGACAAGTGAACAATAATACAGTGTATTAAGATCTGCATGCTGTATAAAAATACTTATTTACTAGTAGTATAGAGTTCCAATCTTCTTTTGAAAAAAGCACTTTGAAAGAAAAATGTTAAGAGTCATTAACTTTGAAGTACAGTCTCAAGTAAAAGTCTCTGTTGGTCCAGTATGAGATATAGCCCTTAAAAAACTTTCCCAAGACTAAGGGGGCTACAAGAGAGAAATCCATGCCCAGCTGCTGTTCCAAGGCTTGTTTCAAATGAAGCTGCCTACAGAGAAAAGAAAAAGGTAACTCATGGACTGAACTTTGGTGAGTTAAAGGGGCTTTTCTAATTAGACATTCAATGACTACTTACAGATGTGCAATACAATTTTAAGATTATCTTAATTTATAAAGCTCACTTGAATAAAGCATGCTGCACAGAAAGAAAAGAAACCAAAAACCACTACAGGAATCTCCTCTAACCACGCTACTTTTTTGCCCAGGATGCTTTTATATATCACAACTATCACCGGAATAGTAGTAGCAGTGGAACCATCTGCAGTTAGACAGAGACTAGTGGCAAATAAAAAAAAAAAAAAAAAAAAAAATCTAACAAGAGACAATGGTCTGCTAAGAGTTAGAACACTATTCATATACATGACAATGGAAGACAAAGATAATTTCAATCTGGTGTTATCATCACTGAGGAAGATCGTTAGTTGCAGCAGGATGAAAACTTAAATACTTTTTTTTTTTTTTTGTGACAGTGGAAGTTCCAATCCTTTGGCATCAATATTTTTGTCTCCATGAACCACCTGAAATCTTCTTACTTCCTACCACAAATGAGATAAGCACATCAATGCACAGCAAAAATAAGAAGCACTTCGTAAAATTTTCCTGAGAACAAATTTTCCCTCAAACTCAACAGCAGATCTGCATGTATGGAATGGGAAAAAAATTATCATTTCATTATAAGACTGTAAATAAAACTACCAATGGCTTTAGACCTAAAGAAAATTAAGTTAACCTTTGGAAACAAAATAAACACTTGATCCTTAGCTTTTCTTAACAGAAATCACATCAAATGGCAAAGATAAACTAATTCACAACTCTTATCAATGTCTGCACAAAGAAACGGAGTCTCTATAGTCTGGCATAAAAGCCTCTCCTCACCAAGCAGCGTAACAGTTCCATCCCAAAGAAACAACAGCCAAAATTTTTTCAAGGGCAAGCCGTGTATTTCTTCCCTTCTGCTTGAGAACAGAAACAATGCCCAACTGTTATGTTCGTGAACATCACCAGGCCTCAAGCTCAAACTGAAAGACTACAGTCAGCAGACACTTCTGCTAAAGCATCTGCTAAACTGGCTAAACAATGCTGTAAACAGCTTCTCCTCTGTCCTAAAAACAGGGATCAATGCAAAGGTCAAAGAACATACAAATAACTAATTGAATGCATAATTTAACTTTCAGGGTCGTGTGTTTTTGCCACCATCTTCACACTGCACAAATCCAATTCAAGTTATTTAATAAAAGAGAGAAAGACATATCTACTACTAATATGTCACTGCATCCATCTATGACCAAATGTTTAAACATCTAAATGCCTACAGCCACTATAAATGAGTTGTATAGTTAACATAAGCTTTCCTCCAAAACAGTGACTATCACTTATTTATTTGTACTCTGATTTTCTGTCACTGTCCAGAACACTTAACATCAGTCCTGACTGCTTAACTTCTTTCTAAAGGTCTTTTCTAAGGCTCCATATTAAAATGTGATTTTTATGGGAATAAAGCACTTGTAAATACACTAAAGATTGAATGGTGTGATTTTAATGACTAATAAACCTGTTTTAATTATTAAGCATTCCATTTTTGAGATGACATTTCCTTGCTCTGGGGCCTTACAATGGCTTCTTTAAAATAAAACTGGGGTCTTACTCCATTCAAATGGCAAAAAGTACAGTCGTAAGAAGAGCTGATTCTAGCCCCCTCAGCTTGTCCTCAGGGAACACAGGACATGCATCTACCAGGAGATTAACAGAACAAACATCAAAAAAACCAATGCAAGACATTCAATTATTTCACTGCCTATCAGTGCATTTTTTCCCCAAGGAGCTCCACAAGTCTCCACTACATCCTCTTTTCCAGTTTCCCCTTTCCAGGAGTTTGACACTTTACTTGCATTAGTGAAGTTGGATTCTTTGGGTCTTGTACGTGCTTCCTCAGAAAACCCTGGAAGCCATGTAAAGGACAAAGATACCTATGCAGTTTTGCAGATTTGTATGCTTGCTTTGTAATGACAAATTGTATTTCAAGAAAGAGTGCAGAGAAATGCAATTTGATGATTCTAAGCTGTATGCTCTTCAATGCAAAGAGAAGCAAACCCCAAGTTTAATACCTGGGATAAGCAGAAATCAACACGCACCAAGAGACAGCCTTCCCGGAAACATGGAACCACGCTTAAACCATTTGTAGAGTATAAGTCAGGTGTTTATGCTGTCCTTCTGCATGTATATGACTCAGTGTCATGAACAAAGCATGCATAAGCAGCAGAATCAAGTTCCAGTTAGTACACATAGTAACAGGAAGGCATATTAGAAAACTACTTGTTTTTTAAAAAAAAGTCATTCTTACCGAGCTCAAAGTATCACAGCTGTGTAACAAAGGGTAAAAGAAGAGCATGCTTGAGTATCAGTTAGTGAATCTGACAATTACTACATTTCATAAGTCTTCAAGCTTCCTGAAATGCAGCTGCAATATGTTTTCCTAAGTTTTTATTCCACAGACAGTACTAAATTCCCCTTGCTCCTTAGTGGACAGACCTTTTGCACTTAGTTTTTGCTATCGGGTGGATTAAGAAGAGAGAACAAGGTGTCTCAAGATTGGGTCCAACCATACACATAATTCAATCCTTAGTACAACTGCTTTGTATATGCTGGAGGCCAGCATTTCTTTACCACTGTAACCCTTCTCTACTTTCTTTTTCGTCATGAAAGAAAAACTGGTCTGTGAACTCTTCCAACAACTCTAATAGGGAAAAATTAACAGGGATGGCAGAACCTACAAAATCTTCAATTCTTCTTTTCTTTTTAAACCCTGACGTGCTAGCAGCTAACATATCAAATTGATAAATGCACATAGTGTATACTGAGCTAATTTCCATAAATTGCTCACAATCACTACAAGAAATTAGGGCTAGCAGAATGCAGCCTCATAAGCAACAAATTTAAGTGTTACTGGAAATCTGTCTTGGATGGATTGCTGGATGTTTGGACAAGGTACAGATAATGGAAGCAGCACTCCAGAAGTGCACTGAAATTCAGCTTCTTATTGTAACTATTGTTAAGTATTTTTCCTATTAGCAGAATTAGCTGAGATGCCAAACACCTACAAGAGTTTCAGAAATACTAGCATGACACAGTAAAGGCCCCAAAAAGAAAATTATCCAAGGGTCATTCAATTAGGTAGTTAAATAACTTATTTTTGCTTTCTACTGTTGAAAATGTTTATGGTGAATTACTTGCCATGCTATGTAGTAAAAAACATTAAGAGACAAACATTAAGGGAAAAATCTTCCTATACAGACAGTTCAATTTGCTTTTGCATTCATGAAAATCCAGACCAACTAATAGGTTTTAGGAAGTATTTTATTGTTAAATTGTTTACTGTATGTATAACAAAAAATGAAAACACTTATGATGCAGTTCTAATAGCAAAGGCATGATTTTTTTCCTGGAAAGAAACAGAGTACCATCCTATTTTCCATGTAAACAATCGCCCTCCATTAATGCTAGAGCAATTCCAAATAGCAAAAAACTGACAAGCTAGACAGCTAGATGTTTTTATTATTGCTGGGTTTTCAGTCATGAACCCCCTTCCCTCACTGCACCATAACATGTATTTATAACAGAACATTTGAAAATAACTCAGAATCACAGAATCAGTTAGGTTAGAAAAGACCTTTAAGATCATCAAGTCCAACTGCTAACCTAGTACTGCCATCCCACCACTAAACTTCTGTCAGATTACTAGTTTTAGAGTTCATGGGACCTAAGCTTTAAGTTAGATAATACACTATCACCAAAAAACCAGCTTAGAGCAAGTAAAAAGAAGACTTAAAGCAGGTTTTAAAGGTAACAACAGAGCTACTTTGTCACACATGAAACAAGGCCTTCAGATCTTTCTACTACAGTGAGATATTGCAGAGCACCAGCTTCCTGTAGCCAAGAGTGACATCTATCAAGACATCAAAAAAGTGAGTGCATTTTCCTCACCTGAAACAAGAGTCTTCTACTTCTGTGCAAAAAGGCAGAAGTTTATTGAGTGCCCATGGACTCAGCTTCTTCCTCCAAAGAGCAGCATTTTCACCAGGCTTCAAATAGCACTACAACACTACAAAAAGACACTAACCACAGCACATCATTATTTGATGTGGAAATGAAATCGTTAAGACTCTACATGACCTGTCTATTTAGCTACTGTAGTTCTTGAGGAACAAGGTCTTGATGGCTGATAAAGCTTTTGGTTATATAATATATACTATATATATTACTAAATTAATGGTTTAGTGGACAGGTACAATTGGACTCTATGATCTCAAGGTCTTTTCCAACCAAATGATTCTATGATAATCGTAATATCTCCACTGCCTGCTTAGCTATTCTAATATGCAAGACATTAAATTAATGTGGCTAATAACACAACATTTGCTCTTACTCTTCACTTGTGATAGGAAACTAAAATCTCACATGGGCGAGCTGAATCATCTAAGCTGCTGATGCAATGCCTACCTACTTATTGATTTACAGAAATCGATCTAAACAAATTAGACTTTTCCATTAATATTCAACTTCGAGGGAGGTGATGTTTTTATTATATCAGGCCAGAGAAATGCCATGTGCGCTTTGGCTCTATTTTGCTATTATCTAACAAGCCCATAGCAGAATTGGTCACTTGACTCTACATCCCCTTTGTCTGCTTCTAGTTGAATCTTTTGGCTCAATTCTGTGATTACCTAATAAGCACATTGCAGAACTGATCACTTGACTCTATTCACCTTTGCCTGCTTTTAGATGACTCTCTTCTTCAGCTACTTTCCCCCCTTCCCATACTTCTAAACATTAGTAAAAACATACAAGTGAACTCGGAGTGATGCTGCCAGCAGCTGCCCCTGCTGCCCCATCAAAATAGAGAAAGGCAAAACTACGGCTAGTGAAGAAGTCAAGCAGGAGTAGCTCTGGCATCAACAAGAGTCAGCTTATGGAAGGCAGCTGGACGAACCTACAGGACATTGAGAGGTTTGTTCTCTCTGGCTTCTTTTCTTGTCTTATCAGGAAAAAGACAGAGAAGAAAACAGAGACAGAACCATACATGTCATAGGGAATAGCTCCTTCTTTCACAGCTATGTTCTGGCTTCTTCACTACCTTTATTTCTCCACAGAGAAGGGGATAAACTTAAGAAATTAAACTCCGAGGTTGAGTAAGAATGCCTGCCAGCCAACCATACACTCTAGACTCTGGTTAACCATATTAGAAGCTTCACGGGCTAGAACTTGGCATCTTCTTATAAAAACCCCCACTTATTTTTTTCTCTCGCCCTATAATGAGAAAAAGAGCTAGACAGCAACAAAGAAAGGGAGATAGGAAAAGGAAATCTGAGGTCTACAAACAGTAACTGAGTTTTCAATGGTAAGTCACATCCACAGCTTGTAATTTAGGAGTCTTTACCAATGTCTTCCTTAGAACTTTCTTTAGCTCCCTTGGTGAAACAGGCACAGGACAGAACTGCCCTAAAATCAGCCCTAAACAGGAACAATATCCCAAAACAGGTAGCTAGAAGTATTCACATAAACAGGTGGTCCCCAATCTTCTAGAATTCAGCAGCACTCTGACTCACTCCTTTGATAAGAAGCGGCAATGATGCTTACAGAACATATTTGGCAACATTTAATCTATATTTACTTTTATGGAACCTGTAATGTGAATATTAAAAACTACACTATTGCAAATGCAATCTGCATTGCTACCAATACATCCATTTGATTCCATATATTTGCTTGAATTTTGGAAATAAACTTCCATCTTCTTCAGATTAAGATTCATCCCAGCTTGTAGGTTTTGATATGAAGTTAGAAGAAACAGCTTTGAGTGTTATGAGCTGTTAACCATAGGATCCATGGCTGGGGGCGCAGAACAGGAGCTACAACAGAGCTCTGATCAGCAGTCTGAGAGACAGAGGTGTAGAGAAAGCTCAGAAGCAAAGCGTCAACTCAACTCCAAAAGCTTGTTTCTTCACCTGTCAAGCAAAAGGGAAGACTCATGGTAGAAATAACCAAAGAACACCAAACTGTTATGCAGTCTATTGTACAGGGCTCACCACAATAGAGGTACTGCATTTAATAGCACTGATGGCACCTAGAGGGAAAAGGAAAAAAAAAAAAAAAAAAAAGAAAAAAGAGAAAAAGCTTATTATATTTGCAGCACAGAAGTTCTGATTAGGAAAAAAGAAAGATCTCTTCAATTTCCAGCCTTGCCACACAACAAGGAAAGCATGGTAACAGCTTCTTTGCAGCTGTGGAGGCAAAACAAATCTGACTAGCACTCCAAGGTTTGGCCACTTTCTCCCTGCCTGTCACTGACTGCTTTCAAAAAAGAAAAAAAAAAAAAAAAAACACACAAACAAACACAAACAAACAAACCAGGGTGAGAAGACAATGGAAAAGATCCTTTGTAATTCCTTCCCCCCCCACCCCAAAAAAAAAAAAAAAAAAAAATCAAACTGTAAAGACAACATGAAGCAGGGGATAAGCTTTCTAACCTAACGTTTGTAAGTAGTCTTGAACCAATTTGCACAATGTCCTGAATACAGGGAGCAGAAATGTCCACATAGACATGATGTTACAAAACTCTCTTTCATACAAAACTCTCTCTCATACAACACACCCAACCGTGGTAATGCAATCCTCAAAACTGTAAAAAGGCAAGTATCAAACAGTAGTGGAGAAGAAACCTTGTCTGTGATCACACTATTCCAGGCTGCTGCCAGAATACTACCTATTTTTGGTGCATACACTCCAAGAACAATCGGGGGAAAGCACAAAGTGCTAGAAGCAAAAAGAATTCAGCGTCTTCTGTTCCAACTGAAGCTCGATTTTACATTTCAAATACTTATACATGGAAAAGATATCAGATAATAGAGTCTTTTTACTGCCTGTGCTAGCATAGGCATATTCCACAGCTGAAAGTTGGACATTAGACAAAACTAGCCTTGAAATAAGACATGGTTTAGTTTCCTAACTGCAGGAATAATTAAATATTGGCAGAGCTTTCCAGAAGAGGTGACAGACACACCGTGATCTAAGGCTAAGATAAGATCCATTTCTAAGAAAGATGTTTTAATTTATCTTTCAGGAAAGCTCCACAGCCTGCACATGTGGGGAAATCACACTGGATAACCACAGTAATCCATTGTGGCTTTGGGACATACAGATCTACAAAGTTTCAAAGACAGCTGGAGCGAAAGGAATACTTTTGCTTGTCTCAGAAAGTTTGTAGCACTGCAATTCCAAATGACTGTAATAGTTAAATGATTGATTATAAGCCAGTTACCTTGTTCAAAGCTCAGGAAATACTGAGCAAATCCAATGCAGAAATGACAAAATGTACTATGTGGGGAAGACACAAGACCTCCCTTTTTCAGGCACATCAAAATTTACAGCTGGAGGTAGTCCACTGCACCGACTGCCCTATAGAAAGGGCTCCCCCAACACAAAACTAACCTGGACTAAGGAGGTTTTTCGTCTTGCTCTGTTATGTATGCAGCTTGCCTGTTGGCATCAGCTGAACGTTTCCCATACAACAAAAATACAAGCAGCAGGGGAGCCTCCAGGTTTAGCAACATTTCAGTCCAACTCTTCCTCAGCAGCAGCCAAGTTAAACTTTACACAAGACAAAGGGTCCATCTAACCCAAAATCCCGCCTCTACAACCCACAGTCCCTCCCCCAGCCCCCTGAACTGCTTGTTGAGATTCCACTACTGCTGTCCCCTTCATCTCTACTATCCTACAAAATCACAAAGTCATGGAATCTATTCACAAATCCTCTCCCAGCCCTGGCCGTCTGTAGCAAGGGGAGAGGGAAGCTTGACAGAAGTGAGGGTAAAATGCTGACAAGCACGGGGTCTGTTTCTGTTCCCTCACCCTGTCACACCTCTGAGCAAAGCACCACTGGGCAGTGCCCACTCGTTCCCTGCATGCCTTTAGAGCAGAGAATGCTGTTCAGTGATACTCAGTGTCCTCTATTTTTACTCTTTTGACACTCAACCTCCATCCCCCTATACCTTCCACGATTCGTCAGCTTTCTTCACGTCTGTGTATTCTCCCCGTGCTTTCAGAGGAAGATAGGATTCAGATTTGTTAGGCACAAGCTAACACCCGTTCCTCATGGAAATAATCTATACAAATAGCAAAGACATTCTCTACAGATGAGTAAAGGGAAGCATCATGTATTTGCCCTGTTCTAATGTTCTCCTAGATGGTAGCTGATTTCAACTGTTTTCCTCAGGTGGAGGTGGTTTTTCTTCAGCCTGCCTATTTAAGAATCTTCACTAGATCCCTCCTCCAGTACTTCAGCTCTGAATGCTTTTTGCATCCATTGGCAAAAAAAAAATCATATATGTATTGCCTTTTGCATGAAGATTCTCTTTTTAAGCCTGACTCCTAGCTTAATACTAGAGAAAACAGCTGCTGTTTGCTATCTACCCTCTACATACCAACCATGGTCTTGTATACATTCATCATAACCCCCTTAGGTCATATCTTCTAGACACTGAAGAGTCCTTTAAATGAGAACTTTGACCTTTGACTTCTACGTGAAGTAGACCATGCCAATAGAAGCACCTCTGACAAATATTGGCTATGAGCCACGTGGCATCTTTCACAATAAATATCACAATGTCTCAAACTAATTATGTAAGCACAATATGGAAACAATCTAATGCTTATAACACACTTGAGGATGAGGGTGACAGTCACTCCTAAGCAACAGTAACTTCCATCTCAACTTTCCATTTTCTCCTTCAATGCAGTCAGCAAACATACAATGATTAAGCTGATACTTTATGGAAATCCAAGTGGGCTGCGTTTGACAAAGATGCCCTCGTTCAGTGAAACTAAACTGTCATGGGATAAGGACAATTCAACTATGAATTAATGACTGATTAACAGATAGGAAGAAAGAAGTTGGAACAATTGCCCTTCTTCCCAAATAAGAAGGATCACCAGCGGAGTTCCACAAGGATCTGTTCTGGGATCAATACCTTCAACATTTTAAAGCAAAATCTAGCAAAGAAGCTTAACACTTACATGACAGAGTTTACTGAAAATGCTTAAAGTTATTCAAGGTTGCAAATGCGATGACAAAGACCTGAAGAAGACCTTAATGATACTGTTTTAAATGGACTGTAAAATAGCAGATAAGATTAATGCAGATAAATGTAAAGTGATGCACAGTGTAAAAAATAAAAATCCTGAATTTATATACACAGTGACAAATTCTGAACTAGCTATTACCACTTAAAAGAGTGATTGTGGAGTAACAATAGACAGTTCCACGAAAATGCCAACTCAATGCTTAAAGACTGTCAAGAAAAAGCAGGTAGAAGATTAAAGAATAAAACCTGATATGCTATATAAGTTTACAGGGTGTCATACGCTGAAATACTGTAGCCAGTCCTGGTTATTGTTCCTCAGCCCTGTTCCTCTGATCCCTGCATCACTACCTCCAATCTGGAACAGACCTGCAAAAGGTGCAAAGAAAACAGCAAGGACAATGAAAAGGACAGAGTCACTTATTTCTAAAACGCCTCTGGAAAAAGTCACAAGCAAGGCATGGTAAATAAAATAAAAAGTTATCCAGCTGTAAGCCACACAGAAGAACATATATTCTCTTTTTCACCAACTCTCCCAATACAAGAATTAACAAACAAGGCACGAAACATGCAGGTAGGAAGTTCAAAAACAAACAAAAAGAAGTGTTTTTTCCACACAAAATATGTTTAAGCCTTACAACACTCAGCCACAGGATGTTGTGGATGCTACATGCATACATGGCTTCAAATACTGATCGGACAAATTCATAGAAGAAAAAACCCACTGGGGGCACTAAAAACAAATATCACCTCTGGTTCCGGAAACCTGCGAGCCACAAATTACTGGAGGCTGGGAGAGGTATTTCCTCAATATACACTATACTCTTCTCCAAGCATCTGCTTTTGGCAGCTCAGAGAGGCAGGATACTGGGCTAGAGGGATCTTTAATGCGACCAAGTACAGTCATTTTTATGTTCTCACATAACTCATAAAAAAGTGAAAACATTAATCGTATGTACATGTCAGAACTATAAACACAGCACATTAAAGGGCCAGATTTTCAAAGGCCAAAAAAGGTCACTACAGTGATTCACTACGACAGTCACAGTTCGATAAGTACTTTTTCCAATATTAGAGTAGCTTAGTCTCCCCCAACCACAAACTTGTGCAAATGTATGGCAAACAAACTGTGAAATCTGAATTTAATTCAGAACAGTTCCCTGCAGCTGTGCGCTCTGTTGCACTGGTACAGCTGAGGGCATACTACAGGCTTGGAAACAACAGGGCTACTTAAATCAGAAGCAGCCCGAAAGGAAATATTTGTCAATGGTGGTAATGGAGCATCACCCCATCTTTTGCATCTCAGAAGGCCCTTTCCACCACATCCACGCCACCATCTCCTGATGTTTAAAGAAATACCGAGTTATTGATATTAAAGACAGAAATGCTGTGAGTAGACTTATTTGTCCTGTTTATTAAATTTGTCCAACATATCTATTTTTTTCCACTTGCTTACTGCATTTACAAAACTGCCACCACTTCAAATGGAAGACAAAAGGGGAGAGGGGATGAGAGGTTCTCCTTTGAAGTTTGGGGGGCATCTCACACAGGTTGAGTAGAAGCTTTCTTAACTTTAGCTGCAAAACTCCTCAAAGACGCCATCACACTGAATACTTGCCAGCACGTAAAGATCTGTTCCTACAAGTCACATCAGGTCTTAAGTCAGAGCACCCAAGCTAAAAACAAACTGGCAGTAGATCCCATTAAAAAGCCTGGTGCATCTCAAAAACTGGCATTTCTGAATTTGCAGCCTTTCCTGTTTTGCAGTGTTAATGTTGGTTTGGTAAAGCGTTCTGAGTGTTCTATATATTATACGGTATGCGACGTGTTCTGTATGCATGATTTGTAAAAAGGTTAGTTTACAATAA